TGGAGGCAAGGATTCTGGGGCTTCGTCTGACATACTTTGGACATGTTGTAAGGAGGGACAGGTCCTTGGAGAGGGACATCATGCTTGGGAGGGTGGAGGTACAACGCAGGAGGGAAAGACCCTCTATGAGGCGGACTGATTCCGTGACTGGGGTAATCAGGATAGATGTGTCAGAGGCAGTGCGACAGGCACAGGATAGAGCAGGGTTTAGGGCTGTTGTACACAGAGTCGCTATGAGTCGCAAGCGACTCGGCACATAACAACAACAACAACAACAACATATATTCACTAAAGGGAAAATAGTTTGAGAGAGAGATAAATAACACTATTGGTAATTTTGCCAAAATCTAAACTAAAGAAAAATCTAGATTAGGAATATTGCTTCTCAATGAGCTAAAAGAGGAAAATTTAAAAGAGAAACATCTGCAGACTCATTTATCACCATGTTAAAATATCTAATGGTAGTCAGTGGATTTAATAAACACGAAACCTAAGTATCATATTAAAGGGCTTTTAGCTCTTTTATGAAAGTCTTTTGTTGGTTGGGTGGTAGACATGCTTTTATCTACTCAGTAGTTTTTCTTTCGAGTGCCTTATTTAAGGGTTGCTTGCCTCTCTTTAAAGGAAAAAAAAAAGTCCTACAACCAGGAGAAGATAAAATAGATGAGTGGGATCTTCTAAGAATCAAATCCCTATGCACATCCAAAAACGTCTCCAACAGGGTAGAAAGGGAAACCACCGACTGGGAAAAGCTATTTAGTAATGACATATAAGATAAGGAACTTATATCCAGAATTTATAAAATACGTGGGCACCAAAACAAGATAAAGGTAAATAATCCAATAAAAAAAAAATGGGCACAGGATATGAACAGACACTTCACCAAAGAAGACATTCAGATGGCTAAGCAGCACATGAAGAAATGTTCCAAATCCCTAGCTCTAAGAGAGCTGCAAATTAAAACAACTATAAGGTATCCTCTCACCCCAGACAGAATAGCAAAATTTAACAGAACAGCAAGCAACAAATGCTGGCGAGGTTGTAGAGAAACTGGAACCCTTACAGTTGGTAGGAGCGTAAAATGGTACAACCACTGTGGAAGGCGGTACGGTGCTTTCTCAAAAAGTTGCAAACAGAGATACCATTTGACACAG